AGGCTTACTAACAGCCAATTTGTGTGTGGCTGTGACAGAATAAGACATGCCAGCTCCCTTAGTAGATATTACTCTGTGTGTGTGTGTGTGTGTGTGTGTGTGTGTGTGTGTGCGCGCACGTGTGCGGTACAGGGTTGGAAGTTGACGATTTCACACTGAGCTGGAGCTCAGCTCCCCTCCTCATTTTAATGTGTGTTTTCTTAATTTTGCCAAACTGCTAAGTTCCTTGGGCTGGGCTGGGACTTGGGATCCTGCTGCCTCAGAGGATTCTGAGTGCTGGAATTGGAGGTGTTTGGTAGACATTTTTGGTTAAGGTTTTTTTTTTTTTTTGGTACTGGAGATTGAACTCAGGACCTTGTGCTTGCGAGTCAGGTGGCGGAACCACTGAGCTAAATCCCAGCCCTGGTAGACATTTTAAATAGTATAAAATGAGGATGGCAGAGTGGTGAAGCAGCCTCTCTGAGATTTGGGAGCCAGCAAGGATCTGAAGTGAGAATTGAGGCCCATGGAGAGAGTGAAGAGAGGACCACAATGCAGAAAAAGGAGGTGCAGGCAGTGCTTTCTCCTGAGCCCATGACTCATCGCATGGAAGGGTGGCTCGAACCTGAAGATGCACAGTGTCTGCTGGTGACCCGAGAGGCCTCCATGAAGTAATGCACCAGTGGAATAGATGCAGCACACCCAGGTGGCTGGTGAGTTATTTGGGCTCAGATGTCCCCCAGAAGAGGGTGCTTGGCCAGTAGCCATTTTGGGAAAGGGCCACCTGAGCTTGGAACTCAGAGCAGCTGTGGGCCGGCTCCATCTAGTGGCTCCCAGGGTCAGGGTGAGGCAGAACTGAGTTCAAGTTGGCAGGAGGATGAGGAGCTGAGTTGAAACCGGCAGGGAGCCAAGTTCAAGCCCGCAGGAGGCACACAGAGTGCTGCTGGCTCAACAAATTAGGTCCCAGATTCACAGCTAGAAACCAACCTGAACCTCAGCGGAACTAAAAGTTCAGGCTTACTGGGATTACCCACCATCCTGCCATAAACCTACAGCTGGCTTGCTGAGATCAAACAACAGGGGTCTGGGCTGTGTCTACTCACTGTCTACCCGTGACAGCAGAGAGATACCTTGAAGTAGACATATTTTTCTTCTTGTTTTTCTTTTTTTTTCTTGGTTTTATATGAGTGTGAACATTATACTAGAGTATTTTTGCTATTGCTTTGTTTTTGTTTTATTTCTTCCTTCTTTCTTTCCTCCTGTCTTCTTCATCAGTTTCCGAAAGTTTGTGTAGTCTTCCTTTGTCCTCCAGCCTTGCTCCTACTCTCTTCCTCTTCTTCTATTTCTCTATTTTCCCCCCTTTTAAATTATCCCATGAGGGTAAAATGGCCATATTGAGGCCATATTTACTGTACACAATTTTCTGATTTCTTTTAGATTTTTATTATACAACCACAAATACAGTTCATATGCTTAAAACTGTCAAATAGTTACCACAGTTTGTCATTTTCTACACTGTGTATGATGCTATTGTTATTGCGGATTGTACTGCTTTAGCCAAGGTGTCATAATTGTTCTAATCAGTTGTTCTTCCTGGTAAGCCAGGACTAAGATCGCCTAAGGGTCATAAACAATACTATAGGCCAGTGCCAAAGAACCAGGGGCTAGGCCAAATAGGCAGCAACTCTAAACTGAAGAGGTAGGATCTTGCAACAGACTCAAAATCCCCAAGCCAGCTACACCTGGAAGACATTTCTGAGAAGTAGTCATTTCCTAAGGGTTCTCAATACTAGCAACAAAGTTACCTGCCATAACTAAACTACAAGCATCAACCCAGGAATTAAACCAAAAAAAAAATGAGGAGACACTTAAGCAAGATGCAACCCCTCACTCCCCAGACTTTCAGCTTGCCAAAGGCAAACCCAGGGGGCACTGAGGTAGAACATTTCAAAAGCCGCCCACCTGGACTCTGAGGTGGTAACAGAAGAAATAACAAAGCAGATGAGTGAGGCTCTAGAAAACATTAAAGCAGAAGTAATTTCTCAGATAACTACAGAAATGGTGAGCAAAATGAAAGACATGGTTACTGATTCTAGAGCAGATACCGATAAAACAAATAGAGGCACTTAAGAAAATGATGGAAACCATGAATGCCTAACATAGAAAAGAAATGGAATCCATGAAATAGATTAAAACAAAAACTGAAAACTTTCACTCTAACATCAGAAACAAGACAAGGATGTCCACTCTCACCACTCTTATTCAGTATACTGCTGGAACCATTAGCCAGAGCAATTAGACAAGAGAAAGAAATAAAAGGAATAACGAAAGGAAAGGAAGAAGTTAAATTGTCATTATTTGCTGATGACATATATGATACTCTACATAGAGCACATGAAAACTCCACCAAGACGTCTAGATTTGATAATCAAATTCTGTAGCATCGCTGGATATAAAGTCAACACTCAAAAATCAGTAGCCTTCCTATGCACAAATAAACTCTCTGAGGGATAAATTAGGGAAACACCTCTCATAATAGCATCCAGGGCCCAGGATTTAGCTCAGTGGCACCATGGCTGCCTGGCAAGCACAAGGGCCTGAGGTCAATCCCCAGTACAAAAAGAAAACAAAACGAACATCCAAAAGTAATGAAAGGAAGTAAAAGACCTTTATTTACATTGAAAACTACAGTACTCTGAAAAAAGAGATGGAAGAAGATATCAGAAAATGGAAAGATGTCCCTTGTTCTTGGATAGGAAGAACCAATATAGTGAAAATGGCCATACTATCAAAGTTGCTATATAGATTTAATACAATTCCAATCAAAATACCAATAGCATATCACAGAATTACAGAAAACAATCCTAAAATTCATTTGGAACCAGAAGAAATCTAGAATGGTAAAGAAATTCTAGGCAACAAAGGCAAAGAAGCAGGCTTCACAATCCCTGAGTTGAAATTATACTACAAAGCTACTGTGATAAAAAGAGCATGCTACTGACAAGCCAAAAAAAAAAAATCCAAGGATCAAAGGAACAGATTAGAAGATGCAGAAACAACTCTGGACAGACTCAGTCATCTCATCTTTGACAAAGGAGCCAGACACTTTCACTGGAAGAAAGGCAGCCTCTTTAATAAATAATACTTGAAAATTTGGCTTTTCACATGCCAAAGATTAAAACTAGACCCATAGCTGGGCATGGTGGTGCATGCCTGTAATCCCAACACTTGGGATGCTGAGACAGGAGAATTGATTTGAGTTCAAGGCCAGCCTGGGCTACACAGTGAATTCAAGGCCAATCTGGCAAGACCCTGTCTCAAAAAAATAAAAAAATAAATAAATAAAATAAAATAAAATAAAAATAAAATTAGACCCATATATTTTACCATGCACTAAACAAAAATCAAAATGGATCAAAGATCTAAATATTAAAACAAAAACATTAAATCTGCTGAAAAACAGAATAGGTAGAAGTCTTGTAGGTTACAATTTTATGAACAAAACCCAGATCACACAGGAAATATCAGAAAGAATCAACAACTAGGATCTCATATTATTTAAAAGTTTTTTTTTTTTGGTTGCTTTGAGACAGGGTCTCTCTTTGTAGTTGAGACTGACCTGGAACTCATCATGTAGCCCAGGCTGCTCTCAAACTCACGGTGATCCTTCTGCCTCAGCCTCCCAAGTGCTGGGATTACAGGCGTGCACCACCACACCCGGCTCTTAAAAAGCTTTTGCACAGCAAAAGAAACCATCAACAGAGTGAAGAGGCAACCCACAATGGAGAAAACATTTCTGTCAGTTGTTCTTCAGATAAAGGACCACTATCTAGAACATATAAAGAACCCAGAAAAATCACACATTCCAAATTTAAAGGCCCAATCCAAAAATGGGCCTCTGAAATGAATAGGCATGTCTCAGATCGAGTAGAAATGGCAAATAAATACAGGAAAAAAATGTTCAACATCACTTGTCATTCGAGAGATGCAAATTAAAACAACACTGAGATTCCATCTCATTCCAGAAAGAATGACTATTATCAAGAAATCAACCAATAACAAAAGTATGGGAGCTTCTGGGGGAAGAGGAACCCTTCTCCACTGTTTTTAGGATTGTAGACTGGTGCAACCACAATGGAAATCAGTGTGGAGATTCCTTAAAAAACTAAAACAAGAGGTTTCCTTTGGCCCAGCTATTCCCCTTCTTGGTATCTTCCCAAAATAATTAAAAGCATCACACCACAACAATATATGAACACCCATGTTTACAGCAACACAGTTTGTAAGAGATAAATCTTGGAAATAGCCCAAACACCCATTACCCAATGAATGGATAAAAGTTTGATCTTTTTATACAATGGAGTACTAGTCTGCTATAAAGAAGGATAAACTTGAGACATTTCTAGCTAATGGATGCACCCAGAGACCAAACTCTTAAGTGAGATAAATTAGATACACATATGTGAATATCACATTTTTTTCTCTGGTGTGAGAAACCTGAAGTGGAAATAAGGATTGAAATGTATAATAGATATTGGGAAATTGCAAAAATATGTTCAAATAGGAATGGGAACAGGGCGGGAAGAGGGTGAAAGGAAGAAAGGAACAAGAAAAAAAAATAAAAGGAAAATATGGAAACAAAGCTTTTGTAAATTAGGACTGGAAGAGAGGTTGTGGGGAGTGGAGAGGAATGGGAAAAAAGAAAGCAAGATATATTATGGACAGCTACAAATTCCCTATGACAAATATGGTCATTATGTATATCTAAAATGCACCAAAAACAAAAAAGAAAAAAATACAATGTAGCAATAAAAAAGAAAATGAACACTTACATTTATGAAAATTAAAATATTACAACATGAAAACACTACATTCTGACATTCCTGCCGCTGCACATGCGCGCAGGTGATGCCACGCCCTAACCGAGCACCGGAAATCCCGCCCCACTTGGTGAAGCCCCGTGTGTGTGGGGGGCCGACGGAAGTCTAACGTCTGTCGTAAGCGCGGGAGGTGCAGCGAGTGTGCCTGACGGCACCTCGCTGCGCCGTAAAGCGCCGCCGGCGCCCAAGTGTGCGTGTTGCCGCGACTACTTCCGGGAGGCTGCAGTCGGGAGCTGGGCACCGGGACCATGGGCAAGCGCGGGACCCGGAGGCAGCTGCTCAGCGACCTGACGAAGAAGCAGAAGAAGCATCTCCGGGACTTCGGCGAGGAGCACCCCTTCTACGACAGGTGCGGGTGCTCCTGAGGGAAGCTGCGGCGGGGCAGTCGGAGGTCGGGGGTCGCCTGAGGTGGCTCCTGGGTTTCCTGTTCTAAAGTAGTTGGTGGAGACCTTGGACTATTGGATCCGTCTTCGGCGATGAGGCAGAGCCCGGGAAGCGTCCGGATCAGCTAGGATTGGGAGCTTGAGCTGCATCCCCAGCCCTTTTTCACAAGTTTACTTTTACTTTGTGTATTTGGGGCAGCGTTTTGCTGAGAGTCCCAAGTCGTCCAGGCGGGGCTCTAAGTTTTGAGCCAAAGTGCTTGGGTCCCAAAGTGTGCGCCGCCACGCCTGCCTC